GCACTGCGCTCCTGGGGCAGTTCAGCTTCTTCTGGGACTGCTGGTATGCCCACATTCTCCTCCTCCTCTTCCTCCTCACTGATAATCACCTCCAGGTTGGACAAATAGAAGGTTTGCTCTTCTTCCTCCTCCTCTTCTTCCTTGCTGCCCAAGCCTGGTGGGCTGCTAACTGGAGCCTCAAAGAGGGGGGAAGAGCCAGGGGCTGCCGCAGGCTCATCCCCCAGGGAGCAGAGGCTTGCACTGCCCTGTGGGTCAGCCTCTGGCAGAAGACATCCCCAGCCTCAGAGAGCTGAAAAACCAGCAAGGACTCCTGCAGCCCGTCCTCCTGCAGCGCAGCAGCTAGCCCTGTGGGGAAACAGGGACACTGCCAATGGGGTTGTGACCCTGGGCCACCTCCTGGGGACTGGCCCGCAGTGTAGGGGCTGCCTCCACCTCACCACGGGTGCACCCACTGCTGGCCCCTGCCCCACACATCCTTTTCTAGGTCATTAATCTCTTGCACAGGGGGTTCAGGGCTTTCCTTTCGCTTTTTCAACCACCACCCCCTGCAGAGCACAGCCAGGCCTATACACCCCCATGCAGCCCACGTTCTGTCCCCCAGGACCTGCACCCCAGGGGGGTGTGAGACACCCACCGGCAGCTGGGACACCGAGGCGCTGCTGGAGCAGGCGGTGGCGGTGCGGGAGCTGGGTGGGCAGGTGCTGCAGGCAGCTAGTGATGCTGTGCAGCTTCTGTGGAGGCCCTGCCAGTTGACAGGTGGACCGTCTGCCCCCTGTGGAAGGACATGCCAAAAATGGGCCCGAGAGCACCAGTGCCAAGGCAGCAGCTGGTGCCAGCATTGAGGGGGCCAGGATGCAGACAGAGAGGAGACCTGGCCCCACAGAACCCTGCTTCTCACCCCGGTATTGCAGCAGCAACATCTCCTGGGTGCGGGATGCGCCGAGTAGCACCTTATGGCTCCTCCCGGGTCCACCCGGTGTCAGGTGGGCAAAGATGGGGGGAGCCTTCATCATGTGCGCCCACTTCAGCACCGGCACCAGCGGCAACCGCTCGTCCATCACGTACACTGAGAACTGGGACAGGGGGGCATGGGTCAGCGGGTCTCACCCCAACATGTTGCGTCAGGCCCCCTCAGGAAATATCTGCGCCCCACAGGTGCTGGGGCTGTGCTGGGGCAGGTGTCCCTCCCGGGTGTAGTGGGACTCACCTGGGTGGTGATGAGGTGCTGGGAGGGGTGAGCCCTGCCCAGGTACATGGGCAGCACCACACGCTCGCCCTGCTGGCAGCCGGCTTCCTCGCCCACCTTGAACAAGTCGAAGTGGCATCTCTCAGGGGCCTGCAGCAAAAATCAGGGTGCCATCAGCACCCCGTACTGGGGGACCCTCTCCCCCACACACTGCTGGCCCTGTGCCCACCCTCCTGGGCTCACCCGGCTGTCCAGGCACTGCAGGCCAGTGCGGTCAGCGCAGCTCAGCACCCGCGGGTGGGCGGTGAAGTCGCTCCAGCGCCAGGGTGAATGGTCCCGAAAAAACATAGTCTGGGCGTCGTGGCGAAGCCGCTGCAGCCTGCAGGGAAAAGGCAGTACTCATGCAGGGTAGAGCTGCCCCTCTCGATGGCACCCCTCTCACACCCTGGAGACCAGGGGGTCTGCGTGAGGCCCCTCCCAGCCCTGGGCACCCCATCTCACCCTGTCTCAACGCTCCAGAGGTAGACAGATCCGCTCTGTGTGCAGACAGCCAGCTCGCCGGGGAGGTGAGGGCTGTGGGATGGGGGGCATGGCATCACACAGGGGCAAGAACATCTGCCACAGTAGGGAGGGCAGTGGCGGAGCCCCCTCACCCCTCCTCGCAAAGCTCTGTGCTCCTCTGTGCCTGCCTTTTCCAGCACCTACCTGACAGTGAGGCAGGAGGCAGGCACGCTGGTGCAGATGACCTGCAGCGGGGTAGGGGCTGCCCCCATCCTGGCTGGCACCTTCCAAGCACCGCAGTGATAGTCCGAGCGGACACCGACGAAATCTGGCAGGGGACAGGAGGCAGCATGTGAGAGGGCAGCATCCCAGGGGCTCCCTGTCACCCCTGCTAAGGTCACAGTGCAGGACACCCAGCCTGGGGTACGGAGCCTGGGGCTGGCTCACCTTCCCCGTCCACCCGGGCAGCAGCCACTTGCCGAATGCGCCCACTGAGCTCAAATTGTGCTGGGGAGCCCCGGGCATGGGGCAGCTCCTTCACCACCACATCCTGGAAATCTAGGGTGCCAGTTAAAGGCAGTGCAACACGACTTCCTTTCCCTCCCCACGACACCTCACTGGGAAGGATACAGAGGTGGTTCATGGCCTGCCCTCTGGGGTACACCAGGCGGCCCATGTGTGCCCCCGTGTCTTTGGGGGGCAGCCAGGCCAGCGCCCCCCCTGTGGGGCTGTCATCAAAGAGCAGACTGGCCCACTGCAGCAGCAGCTCCTCGTGCACACAGTCCGCCAGCAGCCCCAGCGGCACCTCGAAGAGCCAGTCACGGCAGAGGTGGGAGAACCAGCGCAGGCGGGAGACGAGGCGTTGGTGAGGGCACCCGCTGCAGGGGGACAGATGGTGTCAGGCCGGGGGAGAGAGCAGGAGCCTCCCCAGCCCTCTCCAGGGCAGGCGACATGGGGATGTTTACCGCCTGGCCTCCAGACGGTCCATATCCTCCATTAGAGCTGTCATCCGGATGGTGCTCTCCCGGGCCGGTCTCTGCAGAGAGGATGGGGCAGAGGTTGGGACTGGCAGCTGCAAGGGGAGAGATGGGGGACAGTCACCCCCAGACAGACACTGACCCTCAGCTTGGAGTTGCCCAGGTAGAAGTTCTTGTGCAGCAGCTGCCCCAGGGAACCAAACGCATCTTCCGGGTGATCCACAAAGAAATGGCCCAGCTGGGTGGGAAGCACAGGAAGGGGTCTGGGGCGTGCCAAGATCCCACGCTGCCCCCCAGGTCCTTGGCAGGACACAGCGCCTCAGGCCCTACCTGCCTGGTGAAGTCCAGGGCGGCTCCGGGCTTGCCTGCCCGGCTCTTCCAGTGCAGGATGCCACGGCAGA